TCCTCGGTGGAAGAACCTACCTAAAGGTTCTGGGAAGTGAGCTTCTGGAGGAAACGTGTTCATCAACCGATAATTGATTTGACAGGGCCGTTTTGTTCTGGGATGTCTTCGCAGATGTTCTTTTCTCTGGACAAAGAAGAAAATGAGGAACGCTTCACGAATTTGCGTGTCATCCTTGCGCAGGGGCCATGCTAATCTTCTCTGTATCGTTCCAATTTTAGTATATGTCCTAGAGAACTAGGACAGTAGCACACCGTCTCGGAGGAGTATTTGTAGTCCTCTGTCCACCCCTTCTCCACAGCGGTTTTACTTTCACTTTCATAAGAGAAAACCTCCAAACTGAAGGTTTTTGTAAAATAAACTTTTTCTTCCTTGCTTTACTTGACTACTTTAAAAAGATATACTATCCACATATTTGTTGTTCATTCTTGTAACTTGGTCGTTTCTATGCACAGATGCATGATGGGTAATCATGGACTCCATTACAAAGTAACCCTCCAGCTGAATTCACAAGAACCAGAGCTTTGACAGCAAATGGCACACTCAAAGCTCTCCCTGCCATCAAATGTGATTGTGAAAGGTAAATATGAGCACATTAATATCATAAGGCAAGACTGACTGAGAACTACAGGAAAAAAACGGTCTGCTGCGGTTAAACGGAGCCATCCGATGTCTGGTCTATGACTGCCATCTGCTGGACAGACCGAGCACTGCAACGCCCACAGTAACCCTGAAGTTCTCAGCAGCGTTACTCTGGTTTCTGGGGCAGGAGGAACCACAAACCAACGTTCAAATGTAGTATAAATACTGCAAATAAACCCCTACCCGCTCCCCAACAAACACAAGAAACCCTGGTGTATTCCCTTCTGATGACCCAAAAAAATCCCAGAAACCATCATTATAACTGAAAGAAGAAACTAAAGCAGCAACTGAACAAGGAATTACAGAAAACTACAGGAAATCATAAAATTACAAGAATAAAGTTAGAATATTAAAAGGATAAAATTGTAATGAGAATAAAGTCAGAATACTTCTAAAATAAATTCATAATCTGCAGCATCTCAATGTTAGAGCGGAGAAGGGCTTACTTGCTCAAAGTAAGCCCAACGCCAGCCAATCGGTGCTTGCTTGCTTCATGTCCGGGTGGGCCAATCACATCCCGAGCTGGTGGCTCACTGTGGCTTACTTTTGACCAATCAGCTTCCACGATCTGGAGCATTAGAAAAGCTAGGAGACAGAAGCTAGGATCATTTCAATCAATAATTCTTTGAAATAGTTTGGCGATCGGTAAGTTTAAATATGTTTTTCTTTGCAACAGCTCAGTGTATGAGATTCCGTGTTTATTAGTTAGCGTAACATGTCACTGCGGGAGGAGAACGACACCGGGCTTCCTGTGGGATTTTTTTCCACCCCCGCCAAAAAACAGAAAACATATAAATTGCACATAATTCTGTAAAACGATTCCACCAATATGTGTTATTTCTTGTCATCAATAAAATGTATTTTTGTCCGCCTATAGCAACGCGTTGTTTTTGCGGGTCCTGCTGTCCACAGTGTGGGCAACATAACGGAGCTACAAATGATAACATCCTGCATTATTTTATAATAAATCATACTGCTATGTGGTCTTGATTCAGAGTATGCCGAGTGAAAAAAGCGGCATGAATCCAGTGTAATGATTGTGTTATTAATTAAAGTGATATTTATATGTAATTTTGAATACTTATCGATGCTTTTTCCCTGTCAGAACCTGCATGCATATCCAGATCTCCGCAGAACTCCTCAGGGTCAGCTCCTTATGGGCCCAACTGAGGAGGCAAACCGGAGTGAAGGTGCTGTGGCAGGGAGGCCTGCCGTAAGGAGGTTCTGGCTGAAGCCACTGCTCTTGTGAGGCAGAGTGGAGGATCCGACTGACCAGTTCTTGGTTCTGGCCCACTGCAAGACTCAGTTTGGGAAGTACCAGGGCCAGAGGTTCCAATGGATACTTGAAACTCACTGGGCTATGCAGTGGTCAGCAGCATGATGAGAGAAGAGGAGAAGGACAACCCGCTGTCGGCCAATAAACACCTGCTCCTCAAGTACAGCTCCCAGATCAAGGAGTGGGAAGCTGTGGAGGTGTTCCTGAGGAAGCAGGCTGTACTCCTGGAGGCCCAGAAGACTGGTGACTCTGGGTGTCTGAGTTGGGAGACTTTAAAGGCAGGTCCATGAAGGAGGTGTATGAGAACCCCAGCAGGGAGGCCCAGGCTTTCATCAGCTACCTGAAGAAGGCCAACGCCCGGCTGAACACCAACATGGCCCTTTTCAAAGCCTACGTGCAGAAGAGACAAGCTCCGTCTCCTGCCCACCTGCACACCGTCACTGCATCCTCCTCCACCTGCTGCCAGTCAGAACAGGCCCCTGATGGCTGCCACTGTAAAGGCCCTGTTGGCACACGGAAGCATTTGTCTCCTTCACAGCTGGCACACAAAATACTTTCTCCATCCAAAACCTGTACGTACTAAATGATCCTCAAAACCATCCTTTTTAACCTCATGCAGCGTGTGAGGTTAAAAAATATCTTTTCTAACAGCTGCAGTCCCTCGTTGTCTGAGTCCGCTGCCCGGAGACGGCTCTTTACCCACGGTGAGTACCGGGTCATGCACACAGTGTCAGGTCCTGGCTTGTTCTGGTGTTTGTTGGTAATTTTAGTTTTGATTTCTGTTTGACTTATTCTTTGATTAGACCAGCCTTGTTCTTGTTTTACTTACTTCAGCCCTTCAGTATGTTGTTTTGTCCAGTATTATTTGTTATTGTTGGATTAATAGTTCTTGTTTGTTTGTGTTCTCGCCTTGTGCCAATTTATCTCTCTCTCTCTTCTCAGCCTGCAACCTGCCAGACAATCTGCTCAGTAGTAGTTCTGCCATAGTTAGAACTATTGATTTTCATGAAACTTTCATCAGCTACCTGCAGCCTCTGTCTCTACATTTGGGTCCACTTTAAAATGAACAAATCAGGACACACAGATGTGTTGATGATGTGTCTTAATTGTGTTTTATTTTACAGATGCTGCTGCTGCTGCTGCTGCCGCTCCGTGCCTTCCCATCCCCGTGTTGCAGTCCCCTGCAGAGCTTCCTGGCGCTGGAAGGAGCACCTCCCATCCTTCCAGCAGGACTGGATCAGGAAAGCTATTTTGCCGAAATGCAAAAACTGGGAAGACGGAGCTGAGGCCCCATCCTCAGTTCTGGTGGCATCCACCTCAGCCCCCGACTGTCTTCACTCAGCCTCCGGCCTCTGCAGATGTCTTCTTCTCCCGCCCTTTGTTTCTCTGGATGCCCCTAAAGATGTGGTCCGTTCCACTTGTCTGTGTCCAGCCGGCCTGCAGCAGACCGTCCGCAAGGTGTTGGACATGGACGGTGGTATGACCTGGCCACGGAGTATCTGGAGTGCAAAGGATGCAGAAGAAGAACCGGCTTGGTCAGAGGACATCGTAAGGCAGCTGGACCTGGGGCACCGCACCAGATTTCCTGCCGTCCTCACATACAGGTAGAGCACTGATGATAACAGCAATGCATTTGAATGTGCTTGTGCTGTGTAACATGTAAAGGGCTACTTTCATGCTTCACTGTTAAAGGACACGTGACACAGACACATGTGCAGATACGCCTGTGACATCCGCGTGGTGGTGCTGATGCGGGAGAGGAGCCGGGGGAACAGTGTCACACAGCTGAATCACAAGTTGACGGAGGAGCACAGGAATATCTCACAGCCTGTGAGCCCTTTGCTGACTCGTCCGTCATCCAGCCGCCATTGTTCTCCAGCCCTCTGCTTCTCCCCAAACCCAAGTGGCCGCTGTCCGCGTACGCCAGGACGTGCTCTCGCGGCTGCCGAGGTCAGGGCCAAAATTACATCTGTCTTTGGCTCCGTCCTCAAAATGGACTCCACCAAAAAGGTACAAAACAGTTTGAATGTAGTTTTAATTTACAGTTTTGGTTCTCTGGCTTCATTTGCATTGTTGCTTTCATTTTTAGGTCACCAAGAAGCTGGCCGGTGCCGCAGCCAACACCGCCGGCTGCTGGACCAATGTCAGCAATGAGCACGGCCAGGTCTTGGCGTCTGTCCTTGCAGCGCGGAGGGGCGCGGCCTTTGGCCTATGGCAGCAGGCTTGGTGAGGCGCTACGGGAGGCGGGAGCGGCACCGCCCTCTGTGATGTACGTGGACCGGGACCGCTGCAGCCCGCAGGCTCGGGGCCAGGCGCAGGTCGCAGCGATGTTCAGCGCCTGGACATCTGGCGCTTTATGCGTCGGTTTGCAGCAGGCGGCATCACGGAGGCTCACCGGCTCTACGGCGCCTTCATGGCGCGGCTGGCCAGGTGAAGGTGGAACTGTGGCATATTTAGTCATTTTTAGCCGCATATTTAAACATCACTGCCAACACAGCAGGTCTGGGCTTCATGTGTGCAAAGCTCCATGAAACGAGACAGAATATGATTAAATGCCATTGAATAAAATAATGTCAGAAATGTAAAGTTGATTTCAGTTAACAGATGCAATTGATTACATTGGCAGAGCATGTTGTCAACTAACATCTAGAGTCAAACTATAAAGTAGCTTCAATCAAACCCAACCCTGACCCCCATGACCCCCACAGCCCCACCCCATAGGTGGATGTTTATTCTGTAAAAATGTAAATAGATCTTTTTACTTGTGTATTTTTTGTGATTTTTTTCTCCAGTTTCTAGAACAAGATACGATTCATTATAAATAAATCTTGTTCCCAGAATCACTTTGTTGTTGCTTTCAGTTTTGGATGCAACGTTTACTGAACAGCAGGGCTCAGGCAAGGTGCTGCTCATCGCCTGAACTTTGACTCCTGTGGGATTTCAGGCTCGTCTGTGAGGTCAAAGTGCAGCCTAAGGTCAAAGTGCAGCCTAAGGTCAAAGTGCAGCCTAAGGTCAAAGTGCAGCCTAAGGTCAAAGTGCAGGCACATTGAGGTGTCAGGTGTTAAGTTCTCATATTGTGACTGATTTATTTCCCTCTGGTTTTTTCTTCTCTTGTGCGTCACGGTGGGTGACGTCAGTGAACGTATCACGTGCGTCGCTCGGATCAGCTGACCGCGGTGTTTCCGGGTTTATTTCTCGGACGTCGTTTCGGTCCAGGCCCGGTTCGGTTCTGCACAGGTTTGTTTTTCTGAACTTACTCTGACAAAAAGCGACCAGAATGACGGTCGGAACCATTCGAGTCCGTTTGGGCCACACTTGAAAGTCGGTGTGTTCGGTTCTGTTGAGGCAGGCGTTACCAGTGCGGTTCGGTTCGGTTAGACAGTAGAGTTCCGGTTCTGTTGCACCGTAAGGTTTGTTCCTATCGGTTCTGTCGGAGCAGGTAGTACTGGTTCGGTTCGCTGTAGCAGTCAGCACAGGTTCTGTTGGGTTCTGCCGGTTCTGTTGGGTACAGCAGGTTCTGTTGGGTTCTGGAGGTTATTTTGGGTTCTGCAGGTTCTGTTGGGTTCTGCTGGGTTCTGCTGGTTCTGTTGGGTTCTGCAGGTTCTGCTGGGTTCTGCAGGTTCTGTTGGGTTCTGCAGGTTCTGCTGGTTCTGCAGGTTCTGTTGGGTTCTGCTGGTTCTGCTGGTTCTGCTGGGTTCTCCAGGTCCTTTTGGTTTCAGCTGGTTCCGTTTGGTTCTGTTTGCAGTGATGAGCGTGTCGGACAGTGATGAGGAGCTCTACAACGAACGGACCGCCCTGGTTCCCGCCCAGAACCCTGCGGTTCCGTCCTACCGACCCGACCCGGAGCTCAGCCCCAACGAGGACTCCGACAGTAAAACGGTACTGGCCCGGTTCTGCTGACCGTGTTTGAGGACGGTGTCGGTCCTGACGGGTTCTGGTCCCCTCCCAGGCCGGGCGGAGCGGCGGGCGGAGCGGCGGGCGGAGCGGTCCGGCCCCAGGGGCGGAGCCTGAGGACGAGGAGGAGGAGCCACTGAAGTACGGCGCCAAGCACGTCATCATGCTGTTCGTCCCCGTCACCCTGTGCATGGCGGTGGTGGTCGGCACCATCAAGTCCGTCAGCTTCTACTCAGAGAAGACCACGCAGCAGCTGTAGGTCCGCCGGGTTCTGGTCTCGGTTCTGGTTCTGTCTCACCCGGTCTCTCTGCAGGATCTACACGCCGTTCAGCGAGGACACGCCCGATGTGGCCGCCGGCTGCTGCACTCCGTCCTCAACACCGCCATCATGATCAGCGTCATCGTGGTCATGACCGTCCTCCTGGTGGTGCTGTACAAGAACCGCTGCTACAAGGTAGGACAGGGACCGGACCGGGTCGGGCCGCACCGGGCGAGATCGACCTGACCCGACTCATCATGATCAGCGTCAAAAACACAATTATTTATATTTTTGTGGCGGCTTTACTTTAGAGTTTGTCTGTTCATCAGTAAACCACTTCCTGTCGACTCAACATTTGTGACATGAAACCACGTTGGGTGGATCTAGCGCCCCCTAGCGCCACTGCCAGCAGATTTCGGACAGGAAACAATGTTTCTCCAGCAGACGGTCCAGCTGGTTCCGCTTGTGATCCACATTAATGTAACCGGGTCATCGCAGAGAATCGCTGCCTTGGTTCTGAACTAGAAGCCGTCCGACCCGCTGAATGTTCTGGGTCCCTTTCGGCCTGAAGTTCTGGCTTTTCTCTGCCTCAGTTCATCCACGGCTGGCTCATCCTGTCCTCCCTCATGCTGCTGTTCTGGTTCAGCTTCATGTATCTGGGGTGAGTTTCCGGTCTGAAGGATCCAGCCGGCCCGATTCTGGTTCTGGTCCATCAGCAGGCTCGTCCTTTTGTGCCATCAGAGAAGTGTTTCGAACCTACAACGTGGCGGTGGACTACCCAACAGTGGCCATGGTGATCTGGAACTTCGGCGCCGTGGCATGCTGTGCATCCACTGGAAGGGGCCGCTGCAGCTGCAGCAGGCCTACCTCATCCTCATCAGCGCGCTCATGGCCCTCGTCTTCATCAAATATCTCCCCGAGTGGTCCACCTGGGTCATCCTCGGCGCCATCTCTGTCTACGGTGAGTCCTGGAACGCCGTCACCTCCTGCCTCGCCGACATAGCGCCTCTAACTGTTCTCAAATCATCCATTGGTCCCCTGCAGACCTGGTGGCCGTCCTCAGTCCAAAGGGACCGCTACGGATGCTGGTGGAGACGGCTCAGGAGCGCAACGAACCCATCTTCCCGCCCTCATCTACTCCTGTAAGTCCTGAGTCTCACCTGGTCGGCATCTGATAGGTCTAATAAAAGTTTGGTTCTCCATGGGGGTTGGTCAGGGTCTCGTTCTGGTCTAGTTCAGGGTTGGTCAGGGTCTCGTTCCGGTCTAGTTCAGGGTCAGTCCGGGTCTCGTTCTGGTCTAGTTTGGGGGGATGGATCCGGGTCTTGTTCTGGTCTAGTTTGGGGGGGATCCGGGTCTTGTTCTGGTCTAGTTCAGGGTTGGTCAGGGTCTCGTTCCGGTCTAGTTCAGGGTCAGTCCGGGTCTCGTTCTGGTCTAGTTCAGGGTTGGTCAGGGTCTCGTTCCGGTCTAGTTCAGGGTCAGTCCGGGTCTTGTTCTGGTCTAGTTCAGGGTTGGTCAGGGTCTTGTTCTGGTCTAGTTCAGGGTCAGTCCGGGTCTCGTTCTGGTTTAGTTCGGGGTCAGTCCGGGTCTCGTTCTGGTTTAGTTCGGGGTCAGTCCGGGTCTCGTTCTGGTCTAGTTTGGGGGGATGGATCCGGGTCTCGTTCTGGTCTAGTTCAGGGTCAGTCAGGGTCTCGTTCTGGTCTAGTCGGGGGTCAGTCCGGGTCTCGTTCTGGTCTAGTTTGGGGGGATGGATCCGGGTCTCGTTCCGGTCTAGTTCAGGGTCGGTCCGGGTTCGTTCCGGTCTAGTTCAGGGTCAGTCCGGGTCTCGTTCTGGTCTAGTCGGGGGTCAGTCCGGGTCTCGTTCTGGTCTAGTTCAGGGTTGGTCAGGGTCTCGTTCTGGTCTAGTTTGGGGGGATGGATCCGGGTCTCGTTCCGGTCTAGTTTGGGGGATGGATCCGGGTCTCGTTCCGGTCTAGTTTGGGGTCAGTCCGGGTCTCGTTCTGGTCTAGTTTGGGGGATGGATCCGGGTCTCGTTCTGGTCTAGTTTGGGGTCAGTCCGGGTCTCGTTCTGGTCTAGTCTGGGATATGGATCCGGGTCTTGTTCGGTCTAGTTCAGGGTCGGTCCGGGTCTTGTTCCGGTCTAGTCGGGGATATGGATCCGGGTTTGCTCCCGATATGTAGTTGGAGGGCTCTGATTGGTCATAACGTCTCCATCTCTCTGCAGCTGCCATGATGTGGACGGTGACGATGGCGAACCCGGCCGATTGCCAGCGCTCTGAAACAGGTCAGAGGTCAGTCGTGGCAATGCCTGCTCTGCTGTCCAGGCCTGCAGTCTAAATGCTGTCTCTATGGCAACAGGTTCAGACGAGGAGGCGGAGCTAAATGGCGGGAGGGCGGAGCCTCATCGCCGAGGGCTGAGTCGGTCCTGGAAGAGGAGATGGAGGAGGAACGTGAGTGGAGGAGCTGCAGGCCGGAGCTCAGCCGGTGTCTGGTTAGCATGATGATGATGGCTTGTGTGTGCAGGTGGGGTGAAGCTCGGCCTCGGAGACTTCATCTTCTACAGCGTTCTGGTGGGAAAGGCTGCAGCGACTGGTGGAGACTGGAACACCACCCTGGCCTGCTTCGTGGCCATCCTCATCGTACGTTCAGCCATGTTGCTTTCCTTCCACTAAACTTTTCATCAATCATTTCTAGGGTCATTCAGAGTGCCAAATCAGTTTCAGATGTAAGGTAAGTTTCTTAGTCATCTCCAGGTAGTAGAAGGTTATCTAAGTCGGCCATGTTGAGGATTTGGTCTTCCTGTGTTTTCTGAGGCGAGGCTCTGACCCGGCAGCACTTCCTGTCAGAGGTAATGGTGGCATCATGTCTCTTCTACTGGATTCAACTAGGAATGAATGAGCTGAAGAGAGAAAATGGTATGGAGTGTGGTAACTTTGAGCTGGTCATGTGACTCATCATCCACCTCCTTTGCCCCTCCCTCCAGGGTCTGTGCCTCACCCTGCTGCTCCTGGCCATCTTTAGGAAGGCGCTGCCCGCGCTGCCCATCTCCATTGCCTTTGGTCTCATCTTCTACTTCTCCACTGACTTCCTCGTTCAGCCCTTCATGGACAATCTGGCCAATCACCAGTTCTACATCTGAGACCAAGCCCCGCCCACTTCCTTATCAGTCTGTCAGGCCGTCATCTGATGACACATAAAGGCCACTTCCTGTGCAGCGTTGAGGAACAGGAAGTGATGTGATACACCCTGTGACCTTACTGGTGGTCTGCTCAGGTGTTTGATGTATGTAGTTTGTCACTCTGCGATTGGCTGAGACCTGGCCTCTGCATCATCGACCAGGTGACCCCAGACGCTCCAATAGTGTGGAGCTGCAAAGTGGGTGGAGCCACCACTTTATTACTTCTATATCCACTACATTACCCACAATCCTCAGGTCAAGAAGTCTGATTCTTTGGACAATTCCTGTTGAAAAGCATCAAGGGAGTTGGAGTTTCTATAATGCTCACAAACATTTATACTTTTTTCCCCTCAATGAGATATTTTATCACATAATTAAAGTATATAAGGTATGAAATAGTTTTAACAGATGGTGATCTGCCAAATTGAAGCAGAAAATAATATTTTATAGCATTTGTCTGGGTCCTAGAAAATTGATAGTGGTGAATATGATTCCCTGTCTGTGTTTGTGTAACATTGGCCTGTCTGGGCTTCCGTACGTCTGCAAGTCGTTTCATTTTTTACTTGTTCTGTAAATGTTTCACATAAACAAATTAAATGGAGTTTTCTGGAACAGACTCAAATCTTTTAACTTCTCAGTGACTTCCTGCTCCTCGGGTCATGACCATCCTGAGCTTCACAGGATGCTGCAGCCCGTCGGGTCCGGTCGCCAGAACAGAACCGGTGTGTTCTGAATAAACGAGGCGTTCCATTTTTAAAATGTTTATTCTGGATTCTAGAACAGATTTAGCTCCGCTCCTCAAACTGGGATTTATTCTTCAGCAGGAACGCCGCCAGATATTCGATAGGGTTGGGAGGCCTGGAGAGAAACATCCACAACGTCAGAACCGGCGAGCGGTATCCGGTACCGGCCAAACCCGCGGCAGAACCCACCTCTCCTTGGCCAGGACAGACAGGCCCTGCAGCAGGATGGGAACCACGGTCTGGTCCAGGTAGGCCCGGGTCGGCAGCGCCTGCAGGTCCACCTTCTGCTTGGACAGCTTCTCCGCGCTCGCCTTCTCGTTCTCCACCGTGCGCTGGGGACCAACGACCCGACCCGTTACTCAGACACTGGTTCTGGGACCGATCTGAAGGCGGGTCGGTGGCTCTGTCCCGTCCCGAGGTTCTGATCAGGTTCTGGATCCAGAACCTTGGAATGGGACAGAACCTGTACAGAGTAGTGAGTGCAACACAGCATGCTGGGAGATGGAGTTACCTGCAGGTTTTCTGTCAGAAGAAAGCGTGAGGATTTTCAGAGACCTGCAGGAGGATTCAGGTTCAGACAGCTGTAAATAAATCATGTTTAGACCAAGTGTGTGTGTGTGTGTGTGTGTGTGTGTGTGTGTGTGTGTGTGTGTGTGTGTGTGTGTGTGTGGCTCACAGGTGTGTGTCCCTCCATGGACTGCTCTGGGTCTGTGTGATCTGAAAGGCAGAGCAGCAGTTAGCTTAGCAGCAGATCTGACTCCTGATCACGGCAAACATGGAGAACGTTCTCCTCAGACCGGAAACGCAATGCAACTCTTCACTGTGATTGGTCCTCTGACTCCAGAACCAAACTGGACCGACTCGGTTTGATCAGCTTCATGGGAACCGGCGGTAACCATGGTAACCTTCCCAGACGACCAGCCTCTTGATGAGAGGGGAGACTGGACTCAGAACCAGAACCTCCACCTGACCCCTCGGCATTGATTCGGAAATGCCCGGACTCACCGACAGAACCCCGGAACCGGTTCTGGTTCTGTTTCAGAACAGCAGGGACAAATGCGGCTGTTTAAAGTTTGGTTGGAATTAAATCCGAGAGTAGGGGTTCGGTTTTGGTTCTGGCCTGCCTTAATTCGTACAGCTGGCCTTGACCCGGACCCAGGTCGAACCGGGCGACGTGGTCAGTACGCGGCAGGTTGTTAGCTTAGCATCTTTCCTCTTTCCGGTAAATAAACCGGACCGAGGACAGCAAACGGCCAACGCGGGAGACCTGAGCGGTAACGCGCCGCATGAAACCAGAACCACCGAACAACCGGACCGAACCTCCCCAGAACCCGCCGATAAGAACCATTAAAGCTCAACAATGAACTCACCGTCCGCCATGTTTGTTGTGAAGTGTGCGCAGTAAATCCGGCGTAGCTGATTCTGCTTTGACGTTACGTCAGGAACGTTCCTTCCAAAATAAAAGCAACGTTGTTTTTTCCCTTTCAGAGTAATAGCATCAAAAGTAATTGATTTCAGCTGAAGAAAAAAGTAATCTGCTTTGGCCGGTCACAGTTTTTAAATTGAACTCTTTTTAAGATGAGGAAACTTCTTACTGGTTTATGTATTTGGTGTGATACTGTAGAAACGATGGAACATGTTTTTATTAGTTGTAGGAAACATGTGAATCAAAGAAGATTATTAAAAACGGAATTAAGTTTTAATAGAGAATTTAAATTTGAGAATGTGGTTAATCAGTTAAATAGTAATGAGGAGAAAGAGAAGATTAAAAAGAACATACTGGGCTCATTAGGAAAATTCGAGGCATAGATATTGGGACCCAACAGAGGGGAGAAGTGCAACAATAATGCAGGCAAACTCCCGTTGAAATCTAAAGAAGAACTAATCTGCTTTAGGTCCGCAGACCGGGTTTCTGCTTGGAAAGGTTTATAGTCCTGGCTCAGAATAAATATTCTCCATAACTTTGAGCAGGTTAATTTAATGAATGTTTTCCTATGTTGCAGTTCTGCAGAGTTAGCTTCAGGAAATGGTCCAACACCAGACAGAACCTGAGGAGCGCCCAGGTTCTTCTGACCCGGCAGCTCCTCTGGGTCGGATTCCTGCTAAATCTGAGTTTATGAAAAATGTTGCAGCTATCCTTTAAAACGTGGTTCTCCTTACCCAAACAAGAAAAGCAGAACGTTGCTGCTGGGTCAAAGTTTCGAGGTGAGGTCTGAAGGCCCCGGCCCAAATCTGGCCCGCCTTTTGTCTTCATGCGGCCCTGTGGACTGCAGAGCTGCCAGATGACATCAATGTGAAAAGATTCTCAATACTATCTCATTTCAAGAAGTATTTGTCAAATTGCAGCAACAGCTGTTTGTCAATATTCTAGCAATCTGGTTTTATCGACGCATTCTGCCACAAATGGCCCTTTGATGATATTCATGATCTTAAACTGTCCAGAAATAAAAAACACAGAGTGGGAAGGACAGCGGACAGTCTGGGGAGCATTATAAGCCAGTTTGTGTCAACATGAATGTTAAAATCTCCCAGTCATAACTTGATCCGTTTTTAACTCCAAATCAGATTGTTTTTAATGCAAACATTAAAGTCCTGTGGACGATTCAGAACAACAAACTAAATTCATATTAATATTTCATAAATCTGAAAGAAAATTGGTTGCTACTCAGACAAGTCATAGTTTGGAAGAGTGAGTGACGAATCCATCGAACTGGAACCAGAACCGGAACCAGAACCTCAGTCCAAACTCACAGTCTGAATCAGCTTTCATGTTTATTCTGATGGAGTACCGACATTAAGACAAATAAATCATGTTTAGAGGAAATAAAAGAATAAAAGGTACATTTACATGAATATAGAACCATTTTGAAAAAAATGAATCGGGTTGTAACATTTCAAATCTGCTTATTTAGTTTCACTGCAGAGTGGCGGCCCACTCCGTCTCTGTGGCGCCACCTGATGGCAAAAGCCTGGATAGTTTGAGCCTGGATGTGAGGGGAAGTTGGTGCCCTGGTCTTGACTCTTGACCTTTACAGAGTCCCAGATGGAGGGAGCGCCAGATGGAGGACGGCTCGGCGTTGGATTTATGCAGCGTGTGTCGGTTCTTGAGGAGGAGGAACTGCAATAGGTACCAGTTTCACGGGTTGGCCTCCATCCCTACAGAATGAAGGGAATGATGGCTTTCCTGGAGCGGGTAGTCCTCAAACCTCCGCTTATAATCCCTGGAAGAAACACAAGGAGCACCGACTCAGCCCGAGTTCTGATGCGAGCCGAACCAAACTGTAACCCAACCAGAACCCTTGCTCAGTGTGTCTGATCCTGAAAGTATGGGGATGACCGGTACCTGTGGTGATGGAAGGCTCTGGGCCCGATGGAGCACATGGTGAAGAAGGCAAAGGCGAAAGCTGGAAAGGACCAAGCAGCGAGGGCAAAGCCGCACCACTCAATGATCTCCCCAAAGAAGTTGGCACCAGAAACCAACTCAAACATCCCGCCTGGAAGACGGACAGCGGTCAACAGGAAGTCAGCTTCAGGCTGCAGTTCCAGAGTTTGTGGCGTACCGCGGGGGATCCTGTAGACCAACTCCCCAGGTTTCCTCAGGCGACGCAGGATGTGGTCACTGTGGATGTTGATGCTCAGACCGACAGCAAACACCAGAACACCTTGAAAAACAGAATCAAGACATGAAGTCCAGCAGGAGGTTCGTCTCTCCTCACCTGATCCGCCCAATTTCTCACTTTCCTATTTCAGAACCAAAGCCAAACTTCCTCATCTCATCTTTCCAAACAAAAACAAATCAATTCATGTTCTAGGTGCTTCTCGTTGTCCTCTGGTGGCTTGTTCAGCTTTTGGACTTCAGAACCCCTTCAGAACCGGTTCCTGCCGCGGCGGAGCGTCTGACCTGCAGAGAGGCGAGCGTTGGTCAGCCAGGTGAGCTGCAGGTGAGCGCAGTGCAGCAGGTGGTGTCCCTGCAGGAAGCCGTTCAGAGAGCAGAAGATGACGGAGGAGCAGACGATCTTCAGAGGAACCGGCCGTCCGCGGGTCAGCAGGGAGAACACAAAGCTCCTGCAGAACCAGAACAAAGTTACTTCAGAACATCTCCACCAAAGCCGGCTGAAACCCAGGGAGTCAGCAGGAAGAATAATCCATAATCCCAAACTAAACCCGTCTGAGACGCTGAAGCTGTTAGAAATCTGTAAATTCCCACAGGACCAGCGGCTCCTTAAATGCATCACAGCTGGATCCACAGCAGAACCTGGTCCGCATCCAGTCAACAGAACCAAACAGGGTTTGGGTCGGTTCCATGGAGAACATCAACCACAGGTTGGAAGAGAAGGGTCAAAGGTCAAGCTAGCCTAAAGAACTGCTCCAGGTCCGCTTGGCCGGGTCAGAAGAACATGATGTCCCACTCTGCTCAGCTTTCAGCCTCAGGTGAGACGAGCTGGACAGGTGAGGACAGGTGAGGACAGGTGAGGCAGCCAGCAGGGAGGTCTGAGTGTTTTACCAGAACCAGAACCATCTTAGGTTCTGTTCAGTCCAGTTACACCTCCAGAGCCTGGGCTCTGGTGAGAGGTTCACGTCCTGGGCTCAGCAGGAATGACGTCATGATTCTTGACATCATTCTTAATTCCAATCAGAAACCAGAACTGATCAGAACTTTCAGACCTGTTGCTGAAAGTTCTTTTGGGTCGGCGGTTCTGATCATTAACCTTCATTAACTTCCTGTGGATACATCAGCTGATCTGACGGGAACCGTCCCGCCAGGAGGTTCGGTTCCGAAACTCTGAACCTGAGCTCACTGCGTCACTAAATCACCCAAAACACCCCGAACCTTTCCAGAACATCCACCCGACCGGACCGACTCGGACC